TCAGGGTCTCACTAAGAAACTCGTTAAAAATGTTCAGACAAGAACCACGCCCACGTCCCATATAACGGTAATTTACAGAAATACGAAAACTGCGATAAATTAGTAACTATTTAAGCTAATTTACCAAAATCAAAATATGCAATGACCTCTTAGCAGAAAATGATTTTTAGGGTAATTTTTGGAAAATGGGCGTGGCACCGCCCACTTACGCCTACATATGTGTATCTCGGTACCCGGTTTATCAATTTCTACTAAACTCGGCAGATTTAGCAACCTTGGCGCAAAAAAAGCAATGTGTTGAAAATTTTTGAAATCGGACTAAAATTACTGTCACTTAACATATAACGGTAAATTTCAGAAATACGAAAACTCCGATATTTCAATAACTAAAGAGGCCAACTTAGACCAATCTTTTAATTATGTACAAGATTATTAATTTTTGTTAAATGGGCTTGGCACCACCCACTTATGACTACAGAAGTATATATCGATAACCGCCTTACCGATTTCCACCAAATTTGGACCCATTATTTCAATATATTACAGCATATTATAAAATAAAAAATAAAATAATCTTTTGAGAAAACGATATTCAATACGTACGCCGGGTAGATAAAGTTTAGTTTCGCCCGAACTTATACTTCTTTACTTGTTAAGCTTTGTATGAGGGTTTTTTCCAAGGATGGCTAATCTAAGAAAATGCTTGTATCTGAAAAATTTGTTGGTGGTTATTTTTGCATATTTGACAATATTTCATACATTTTCGGGGAACAAGAGAATAGAAATGCATTAAACAAGGCGAATTCACACTCCTGCTACCACTTTGTATGAATTCACCTTGATGCAATGCAAGTATACATACAGTATATTTTGCTTTGCTGCCTTTGTGCTTAAGTGCACATTTAAGATACCTACCGCGAAATGGCCATCAGCAGCATTATTTTTAACATATATAAGGAAACTGCTCCGATAGATGCATTCAACATACCTGCACATTACCGATACCTGCCTTAAAAATTTTCAGCTATTATCAATTATCAAAGAAAATATTACGTTTACCTGCACTGGCTCTACACTTACCCTAATTTTATTTTCCTCATCTCGCGGAACAACGAAAACGGCTATCAATTTATGTAGTTATATAGATAATTGGATACCATTCGAAAAAAATGTCGCTTGCAGTAATTTCTACGTGGTAAGTGCTCCTCCATTATTTGGTTTCATGGGGATTTGGATACCTTCCTCATTGAAGTAGTAAAGAAAATTCGCTTAAGTGCTTTTTTCGGTTAAGCGCACAAGTTTTTCGTGCAAAGAAGGATGGGCAGCTAAGCAAAATATACTGTACTTATATATCTGTGTTCGTATGGAATAGTAGCTTATTTGGAAAGGCTGGCTTTACAATAATGCGGCATTCGCAGAATGCGATTGCGAATAACTCAATGGCGCCAAGCCGTCGAAGATCTTTTGGCAANTTTTCGTGCAAAGAAGGATGGGCAGCTAAGCAAAATATACTGTACTTATAACTATATCTGTGTTCGTATGGAATAGTAGCTTATTTGGAAAGGCTGGCTTTACAATAATGCGGCATTCGCAGAATGCGATTGCGAATAACTCAATGGCGCCAAGCCGTCGAAGATCTTTTGGCAAATAAATGTGCAAGAAATAGTTCCGATACTAGCAAGAAAATATTCTTATTCTTATACGTTCCATACGAACACAGATATGTACTTATATACATACTGACGAACAGATTTGTCGTTCATTAAGGCAAATTTTAGCTGTTTGATGGTAGGTATGTATAATGAAGCGTCAGACGAAAGGTTTGACATTGAAAGAAAGTTAAGAAATTGTGACAATTGTGAAAGCGCAATACGCATGGCTGAATTATACCAGGTGAAATAAATAGAGCAAGAAGAAAGATTTTGACCTCAGTATTCCAGTTAACAAACTGAGCTGTTTTTTCGCCAAATTTGGTCCTCATAAAGGACTTAGGGTTGCAGACAACGCTTTTTCGGCAATTAGGGTGTTGTGCAGCAATTTAATGTTATGAAAAATGCACCGAATGTATGAAATATTAAAGATTCGCTTCACATTATTAATAAAACTTAACGTAATTGTATTTTTTATTTCGATAATACTAATTAGTGCTATTGTTTACAAGTCGAACGAAATAATTTAGTTAATGTAAACCATATTAAATGTAAAAACGCATATATTTAGATTTATTAATTTAAATGACTGGCGTGCTGTTTTGGACTCGGTCAAAATCGCTTAGGCTAGGGATGCCCAAACCAGCACATATGTGTCGCGGGCGACTGCGCGTGCAAAGCTTTGCACAGCGGTGCTGTGCAAGCGGGGAAGCAAAATGTTATCGGAAGGGGAAAACGAAGTCAACAGAATAGTGAGATTGTATGTGTGACAGTGATGGAAAATGAGTGTGCATTGTGACATTTTCGGCCCTTTCGGAAGCAGCCGCGATTAAAAATATTTTTTTTACATTTAATCGTATGTGCTTAAAGTGATAGATGATATAAACATAGAAACACAAGCAGAAGAAACTCGCTTCCACATTCTGCATATGCGCTTAACATTTTTGTTTAAACAAATTTGTCGAAATTTCATCTCTAAAGCAAATATTAAATATCATTTAATATATACGTTAGATTTAAATAATAATTTTTAGTGCTGGGCGAGTCCGAGATGTTTAAATGATCGAGATAGTACATTCAATTCGCGTAGATTTTTGAGAACTTTTTTCGTTGAAGGTGTTGCACTTTTTTTCCATACTGAAATTTTTGTACATCATATATCATTGTCTAAGAAAAACTATAAAATAAAGCTTAATTTAAAATATTGGAATAAAAACAACAACAATGCGAACGTCTGTTATATGGAAGAAAGTGCGCAACACGGCAAACAAAAAAATTCAAAAAAATCAATGGTATTTTCTAGACACTTCAAACTTGCACCTTATTATACTAGAATGAATGGGCTACAAAAATGTTAACCCAAAACATGTCTACAAATTCTGAACAAAAACTGTGAAAATTTGATGAAACTTTGTTGATTTTTTTCATTCTTTCAAGTTTCGATTTATTTGCAAGTTTTTTGTTTGATAATGACATACAATTTTATAAAAAAAATAATTAAAATTATTTAAAAAAATAAAATAAATACCGGGTGACCATGTAATTTTGTCAAAGATGAAGACAATGATGATAAAACATTAATACACTATATAGGTCTGTTCATATTAATGAACATAAAATGAGATCACTATCGATAAAATGGAAATCCTCAAGGGAAATTTATAATTTCAACGCATGGAATTTACATAGATTTTTTTTACTTTCAACCCCCGAATTGCTCAATTACTTCTATTTCTGCAGGATCGCCTTTAGGTAAATTGCATTTCCAAAGATTTTTTCAAAATAAATAGCGATGAGGGATATTTCACCCGCCGGTGATAAGAAATCGCAATCACCATAACGCACATCACTAATATTACTGTTCACAATCACGTTTACATTCAAAATTACAATTCATAATTTTGTTTTGTAGCAAATATGAAATATAGGTATATACATTTTCTTAAATGTAAACGGATTAAGAATCAAAGTGCTAGAAGAGATTTGAGCGTTTGGTACAAAAAGTATTTTGATGTTGAAATTTTACTTAAAATCGGCAAAGTGTACTTTTGTACATTTTAAAATTAATTTTACTGAAAAAAGTACAATTGTGCTTAAAGTATCAACACTGTTTCACTGGCGCTGTACTTGCTGCAGCGATGCCAGATTAGAGCGTACCCAATTTTTTACCGATTATAACTCATGCGAAGGATTTGGGTATTGGGCATTTTACAAGCCTATTAGGAAGTATACATATCTGTGTTCATATAGAATAGTAACTTATGTCGGAAGACTGGCTTTAGTATAATGAACCATTCGCAGCATACGATTGCGAAAGACTCACTGGCGCCGAGTCGTTGAAGAACTCTTGGAAAATAAACGTAAAAGACGGTAATGTTAATGGCGATGCTAGCAAGTCAATATTCGTATAAAGTTTCATAAAAAAATTCCTTGTGGTTTAAAGAATATAGGAAATGGTACATTTTACTAAAGCCAGCCTCCCGACATAAGCTACTATTTCATACGAACACAAATATATTCGTCTACAAATAATGTTGATTATTTTAATTAAGTCCTAAGATAAGTTTGTGAATCTTATCAGTGTTCTATGTAAGAACCAAAAATCAATCCCCTCGCCAATTAGAACTTTTGCTTTATAAGAAAAATATACATAGCGCATTTACTCAATACTTGGTCTGGCATCACTGTTTGAGCATTGATGTGCTCAGCTCACTGTTGCCAAGGTCGTGCATTTTACACTAAATTTAGTGCTTTTGGGAAACCAAAAAGCCAAAATAATTGGGATTCAATGCTTGGCGCGGTATTTAGTGATGCTTTTTTAATTTAAGCACACCGAATGCATAGGTACATATGTATATATGTATACACTATACACTAATATTCTACATTAAGATGGAATTGATGTACTGAATAAAATGTGAGAAATAGGTAAATTAAATATGTTTTGCGTTATTATAAATGTATTGAAATTAATTTATTAATAAAAACGTGAGCAAATGGATATGTATATACACTTTTTACTGAATCAAAAAAATTATTAAACATGATAATAAAAACTTGGCGCTTTTGTTTTGGCAAAATTGGCTTTTTCTGGTGGCCTGATGCCACACTGGCTCAGTTGTCGCAAAAGTACACATACATACACGCATTTTTACTTGAAAATAAGTGTGTAGTGGTTAATATGTATACGATGCCATCTCCGTACAGCTCACTTCACCTCCCCCAGCACGCTCGCGTGCGCGCAGTTTGCCCGCGACGTCGACTGCGTGCACCCGTGCTGTGCATCCCTAGCTTAGGCGGTTACAGCGCCAATAAAGAAGAAGAAGAAAAATTTAAATGGTGAAACATGTTTTATAAATTGATACTAGCAATACCCGGCGCGCGTTGCTACGCCAAAGAAAAACACATGTATTTAGAGATTTGAAATTGAATACCTTTTCATTTACCTTAATGCTAAGGGATAAACAATATTTTTAGTTTTTTCATTTGGAGTGTAAATATATAAATTTTGTGGTGTCCCAACTCGTGAACAGGCGACGTGCCATGGCGACAGGCCATGTGAAAAGCACGAATTTTTCAAATCCAAACCCGCAATAGTTAATGATTGCCCTTGTGCTTTATTTATAGTTATAGCAAAGGCAAGACGCAAAGGGAATTGAAGCCGCTTGAATTCGAACGGTAAATCGTTGGAAATCATCGGTATACGTGGAATCAGCACATCTTCGCCTTTGAATTTACCGCTGATGATTGTTGCCTCGATCAAATTCGGTGTTAATTTTTTTATTATCACTCTGGTTCCGTTGCACAGTTTCGGCGCGTTCAAGTTCCGAATAAGCATCACTGGTGATCCAACTTTTAACGCCAACGAATGAGGAGGCATTCCAGGTGGCTCCAAAGAATTAAGAAATTCAGTTGGGTAATTAACAGCTTGATCTTTGTCCATTACTGTATCAATCGATTTATATTCGACTGCTTCTCCTGGAATTTTCAATTGAATTTGACCGTTTAATTTACTAACATCATCGTTCTTCGGAGCTAAAATTGCACGTTCGCGGAGCCATTCCGGATTTCGGTAGTTGATCGTTATGTTCGGAAATACTCTGTCGATGACGTCTTGAATGCTCTGCTGCATTTGACAAAAGTTGGACGGAAATGATATCTCATTTGTTGTGCGATCAATATGAACTTTACCGTTTCCGATATCTAAAAGTTGCTTTGAAAATATTTGGGCAGACGTATCTTGCAGCAAATGCACTCGCATATTTGTTGTGAGCGTAATTTTTTCGACATAGTTCCACAGATGCGATGCCTTTAAGCACGCGTTCAGCTCGTCTGCAGGCGTTGATCGTGGTATAACGGGTAATGTTTGACGAAAATCACCTGCAAGAAGTATAAGAGCGCCTCCCATCGGTTGGTCTTTTCCACGAAAATCTCGCAGAGTTCGGTCAAGTGCTTCGAGCGATTTCTTATGTGCCATGGTGCATTCGTCCCAAATTATAATTTTGCACGTTTTAAGGACTATGGCCATACCAGAGTTTTTGCTGATGTTGCATGTAGGTGTTTCGGTCTGGTGCAAATTCAATGGAAGCTTAAGTGCTGAATGCGCTGTACGTCCTCCATCAAGTAGTGTTGATGCAATCCCCGATGATGCTACTGCTACTGCAATCCCATTTCGCATTCGAACTGACGCCAATATTAAATTGATGAGGAAAGTTTTCCCGGTACCTCCTGGAGCATCTAGGAAGATAATTCCGCCATCTCCTTTGGTTACACGTTGCATGATTTTGTCATAAGCTTTTTTCTGATCAGCAACTAAAAACTCTTTTTGCGTTTGCACAAATCGTTCAAGCTGATTTGCATCAAACTGCTGTTCTCGCATCAAGTCTCTGTCTTGTACAGCATTTCTATCTCGTGTCGGTGCTGGCATACCGAGTTGACAAAGAGCTTTGTTGTTGATTGACATGCATAAGTCCTCCATTAATATTAAAGCTTCATTGAAAATGTCATCCGAATATTCCTGACTTGGATCGCTTGCACGTGCTTGTCTTAGAATATCTTCACTGAGGCTTTCACGATGCATTTCCCACAGTTGTCGAGGATTCGATGGTGCGCATGTTGTTAAAATTATCGCAAACAAAGTTCGTATTTGCTTTGGATGGCACGTGAGTGATGCTTCGGTCAGAGTTGTGTTCCAATTCTGATCATTCTCAAGTAAGCCCAGTTTAAAGCACGCTTCTCTGTACGTTTGGCATTCTACTCCGTCGATGGTTTTCAATGCAAGGAATGATGTCGGCCCTTTGATTGTATGCAGCAACAACCGCAAATAATAGCACTCGGCGTTATTTGGATGAACAGTATACACACGTCCCAATGCATCGGACGAATATATACCAGGATGCTCTGGAACAATTGCACCTCTTTTTCTTCTGTTGAACTTTTTTGTCGATGTGTTCCAAGTATAATATTTGGGCACATCTTGATACAGCAACGTTTTAGCAAAATTTTCGGATGTACACAATTCGAAAAAAGCAGTCAGTGTTGTGTTTTGTGGTTGCTCTGCTCTATTTTGCGCATTTTCTTCGGTGAAGTAAACCCGCTGACCATTTTCCAAATGAACAGCGAGATGTTGAACCGTTGGATATCGTTCGTGAATATTGAATGCAAATATCCGCCATACTGCTTCGTTACTGCTGATGTAGCGCCCTGTTTGATATTGCGTGATCTCATCACCTCGATTTGCTAATCCGAATACTGCCATGTCACTGCCCTTGTTAACATATTTACAAATATATTTTATGGACTTTACCGAATTACAATACTCAACATTGATGTGAGCATTAAACATTTTTGAAAGTAGTGGCGAGTATGGCACGATCCATCTATTGTCTATGTCGATATCTACACTTCGCATCTTAATAGTAGTTGTGTATCCACCATTAGTGGGATTTCTTCGCCTATACAGAGGATATCCATCACCTCCAGTTTGAGTTTCAGTAATCAACTCACGTGGATATCGCTTTGTGCATTTGCCGTTTTGCATACATGGTGAATTAGGATTAAAAGTACCGCATGGCCCATGAATCATATTTTTCTTGATTATTTCAAAAAGAATGGGATCTTCGGCTTGATTTGGAAGCTCGGCTGATATAACGCTATCAATTTGTGTAGGTATAATTTTTTGCTTCAACCAAATCAAAATGTGAGCGTGTGGTAAGCCTCTCTTTTGCCATTCAATTGAGTACATCCAGCATCTGGTTTCTCCAAAAACAAAATTCTTCGTGATGACATTCATAAGACTTATTAGCTTTTGCTTGAATATTCGAGCGAGAAGATCATGTCTGTGCGATGAGCTCTGGCCTGCAAAAAGCAATTCGGTTATTTCACTCCACGATGGATTGCAAGTGAAGGTGATGAATAGGTCTGGTCGTCCATACTTTCGAACGTACGTCATAGCATCTTGCCCGTATTCGTGCATGTGCCGCGGGCTTCCTGTATATGTTACAGGTAAAATTACCATTTGTCCAATGTCAGCAATGTTTCCATCATTAGCAACTGCATCACGTAAATGAACGTATTCTTCAACGCGCAGCTTCTTTTGATTTAAGCGAATGAAAAGAAGACGTTCACTTTCGACTTTCGCGTACATGTCCACAATAAACTGTTGGAATAATTCACGACATTTTAAGATATGATTGGATTCATTTCCACGAATCATAATGCGGTTTGCATAATAATCCATGCAGGACACTTTCTTTGTCGTCGCTTCACTTGTGCTGGGGTCGACTTGCCTGATGTTGAAATGATATCCTTCTTCTCCATGGGGAAACAGCACTGGATATTGGAGTGCATCATACGATCGATGTGTTTCCGATACTCTCTGCACATTAGCATTTCGCCGGTGGATAATGATGTCACGTCGATCGAATTCGGTGCCAACTATTACAATTGCAACATCCCCTGTTACTGGAGCATTGAAGCGCCTTTCATGTTCACCAGCAGGAGCTTTGTCTGCTCTAATAACAACACTATAGTCTTCTGATGGCATTTGATCCAGAGCTGTTTTAAAAAGGCGAATCAAATTGTTTTGTTCATGGAACATTGCCTGCAAGCTTGAAATGATCTCGCGTCGGATCCCAGAACTAATTGCGCAACGCTTGTCTACTTCCAGTGCATCATTTCCAGTGAAATAAATTTGCAGAAATTTCGCATCTTGTTGTGGCACTGCGAGCAATGAACCGATTTTGTGGTATATTTGGCCTTGAACTTTGAATGTTGGCATGTAACCGCCTTCAGATATAATTTTCGTTGCTCCAAACGAAGTCATTTGAAAGCAAGAGTTGTACTTGCGTATGTTTTTCAAAAAGTGGTTTGAAATAGGAGTTGTGCCAGAAAGGTAACTAAGTAGTGGTTCAGGTGCCTCAATTAACGATGGCAAAACTAATTTACTATTTGAACAACACATTCCTGGTGATTCGTTTGCAAACTTCAAAGCATAGCAATGCAAACAAACTTTATTCATCGGTCCAATGGCGACATCTGCATGATTTTCGTAGTCTCTGTTTTTGTCATAAGTGTATGCCGCCAACATTAAATGTGTTCTTTCTCTTGCATGGGTCAATCGTTATAGATTAGTGCGAAGCCGTTCGTTGCGTTGTTCGGGATTTTGAGAATCTCTGGAGGTTGAAGCTCTCACACGATTTCTTTGTAAGCGAGATTCTCGTTGTTCCAGGGTTTCAGAGTCTCTGGAGGTTGAAGCTCTCACACGATTTTGCTGGAGGCGAGATTCTCGTTGTTCCAGGGTTTCAGCGTCTCTGGAGGTTGAAGCTCTCACACGATTTTGTTGTAGGCGAGATTCTCGTTGTTCCAGGGTTTCAGCGTCTCTGGAGGTTGAAGCTCTCACACGATTTTGCTGGAGGCGAGATTCTCGTTGTTCCAGGGTTTCAGCGTCTCTGGAGGTTGAAGCTCTCACACGATTTTGTTGTAGGCGAGATTCTCGTTGTTCCAGGGTTGCAGCGTCTCTGGAGGTTGAAGCTCTCACACGATTTTGCTGGACGCGAGATTCCCGCTGGTTTCCCGTTTCAACATTTCTCGAGCTTGTCTCTCTGTTTCGATTTTGTTGAAGCCGGACATTTCGTTGATCTTCCGTTTCCGCCGCTCTCTATTCATTCGACTTTTTTGTTTTGGGGTTTTTTCTTCCAATTGATGCTTTCTTTGGAGGCATGATTTTATANATGATTTTATTTTTTTGTGAATGTAAATAATAATACTCTGTATGTTGAACTGATCTCAGATGAAAAAGAATTCACTATCGTTTGCGCAGTGTCTACACTTGCTATGAGCGAATGTATTAGCTATGCGACCTTATATTTATGTAACTCAGGCAAACAATATAAATATGTTCTCTGAAGGTACCTTCCACTTAAAAAGATTAAAAATCCTTATATTTTATCTATGCTAAAACGTGTGTAAACAGCAGAAGATATTCTCTGCAGGTACTTTTCCTGCAATAAATTAAAAAAAAATCGGTAGACTTTATTTTCTTATTTATCTGAATTAGTGTATACAGAAAAATTTCTTTGTACGTAGGTATTTTCTTCAAGAATGTTGTGGAAAAATCCCAAGATTTATGAAGCCATTGTTTAGGTAAACTTGGGAAACAAAATATACTCTTGTAAACAATATTTAACTACCTTCAACCGTAAAATAAAAACGAATGCTATAATTCTGCAGGTACTTTCCTCCCAAATAATTTGAAATTTTTAAACCCTTTATTTATGTGAACATAGGTAACAAAGTGTTTTCTATGTAGGTATTCTCTTCATGAATGTTGTGGAAAAATACCAAAATTTATACACCCAAATTTAGGAAAATTATGCAAGCAAAATCTCGTATGCGCATTAGGAAAAAATATTACAACATTTTTTATTGCAAATTTTATTATATTTTTTTAAGCCTTATTCAATAAGAAACAAAAGTTATGCATTAATATTGAGTACTTTTTTGGTTTTTAACTATTAAACAAATTCCGTTTTTAAATTGCAACCTGGTGAAAATTTACACAACTCTGGCATTAACATACATACATATGTTCACATATAGATTTAAAAATTTGGATTCGGCATTTTCTTTCTGGTAAGCTTTCGGTTTGACAGACTTTGAAGTTTATCACACTCTAAATCTTTGGTATTTCTTAAAAATATTATCCGATTTTATTTTCTTAAGTATGTGGACACTCTATACGATAATTGGTCTTAACTGAAACATTTCCCAATAGCTCCCGTTTGATACGTATCCTGCGAAATACTTTTTAATACACACATTTATGTCATTTAACTTTTTTTGAAAGAGGTGGCAACTCTACTCAAAAATATGTTTGGCGTGAATCTTTCTCCAATACCTTCCGTTTGATACCCATATTGCAATATTTGATGTGAATTGCATTAGATATTCATTATTTTTAACTTTTTTACCAGGTGGCAACACTTATTAAAATATTTTTTGATGTAAATTTTCTTAAATATCTTTCTCAAATACCTTCCATTTGATATCTATACTTACTTTACTTGCATATTTAAATAAATTTTAGTTTTCTGACAGGTGGCAACTCTTTCAAAAATAGCCAATTTTCACAGGAACACTCTCCGAGTTTCTATGAAGCTATCCTGGAAATTTTAACAAAATCGGCTGAATGGTTTCGGAGTCTATAAGCTGCATAGATACATACATACATACATACATCCTTTTTTATATATATAGATGACTTCTATTATAAATTATAGCCATATACAATAATATACATATATCGTCGTTTAAAGCGCAAAACCGCGTATCACTAAAATGCAAAACCACGTATGTGAGGTGGCATAAATTATTTTTAGAGAGTAAAAACACTCATATTTAAAAATGGTTCTCTTTTTTATAAAGAAATTACATATGGGTGTTTCCAGCGGAAGGTCCACCACGACAAAAAAAATAAAAGTTTTATATCTAACGTATTTACGGGCCGATTTGTCTGCTTTTTAAAATATATACTGGCTATGTAAGTAGAATCATGTTTGCATAAAATGGTCTTCCTAGGTGGTGCCAAGGTCGAGATATTTCGAAAAACCGTATTTATGGTCCGATTTGGTTCGAATTTGGCGTATGTGGTTGAAACATAATAAATCATAGATTTCTAATAAATTGACCCTGAATTGGCGCTGAAGTCAAAATATAAAGTATATTCTACATAAAATACATGTGACGCCACGTCACGTCACGTTTCACACTTGGGGTTGTAAAAGAGAAATGAAACAATTTGCATTAATTCAAAAAACTCTAAAAACAACTAAAATTGCTCCAAATCATATTAAAATAAGTTTCATGAAAATAGCCATCCACAATTCGCAGAGTTTTGCGATTTTGTAAGAAAAGAAAAAATCAACTTCCATTTTTTGTCACGTAACGACACTCTCTTTAAATGCTTATATCTCAGGACCAAGCAGTTCGATTGATTTCATTTTTCAGTTAAATATAGAGCTAATTATGTGCTATACAATGGCCCAAAAAAGTTAAAGAAAATGAATGGTTTTCCTTTTTTGTATCACATTGAAATCGTACGACTGTCACGTGCGCCACCATGGGAATGCCCATATCAGGATAGTATATTTCAGAACGAATGGATATGGATTGAGCCAAGAGCTTGTGTGAGCAAATCCAATTTTTGGCAGCCAATGTCAGTTGCGCGGTTTTGCAGAATGACGATACGCGGTTTTGTACTTTAAATGACGATATGATATGTAAAGGGTGTTTTTTTAGACGTGTGGTTTTCAATGAGGCAATACTTTTTTCGGAGTTGGTCTTTTTGACAGCTGTCACTTGATTTCTACTCAGTTTGGTTTGCAATTTCATTGGTTTCACGCGCTGCGTCCAATATTCGGTCGACATAATCGCCCAGCAGAGTCGGTAATTCGGGCGACCATGCATCGGTTTCACACCACGTTTACTCTAGTGGATAATGCGCATCATCAGAGATGCCGTACAGTGTGCACCGAAGACCCTATTGCTGCTGTGGAGCAGAGTATCGAAGAAGACCCCAATGAGTCCATTCGCCATCGCGCGCATCAATTGGAGCTGTGCCCATCCACTTTATGGAAGATTTTTCGGGAGGATCTTGGTTTGCGTCCTTACAAAAACCAACTTGTGCAAGAATTGAAGCCGAACGACCATCAAGCGCGTCGCACGGTCGGTGCATTGGCCCAAAACGAGATGGCTACCGATCCCGATTTCACAAGAAAATTTTGTTCAGCGATGAATCTCATTTTTGATTAAATGGGTACGTTAATAAACAAAACTGTTGCATTTGGAGTAATGATAATCCAAAAGCCATTGCTGAGACGGCGTTATATCTTCAAAAAGTCACTGTTTGGGGTGCTCTATGGGCAAAGGGAATCATTGGTCCATATTTCTTCAAAAATGAAGCCGGCCATAATACTATAGTCAATGGGGAACACTATAGAGCGATGATTAATGACTTTTTAGTGCTTGAATTGGAGGATGTTGATGTGGACGACCTTTGGTTCCAACAAGACGGCGCTACATGCCATACAGCCAACGAAACAATCAATTTACTGAAGAAAACTTTTGGTGAGCGCATTATCTCTCGTCGTGGGGCTGTGGCGTGGCCTCCAGGATCGTGCGATTTAATACCGCTGGACTATTTTTTGTGGTGTTATGTGAAGTCGCTTGTCTACGCAGATAAGCCCGAGACGATTGACGCCATGGAAGAGAATATTCGGCACGTTATTGCTGACACACGGTCCCAATGCTGCAAAAATTTGTCGATAATTGGGAAAGTTGGCAAACCCTTATTCTTATAATAAAGCTAAATTTTTGGCCATAACATTAAACAATATGCGTTTTATGTCTTCTTGAAAACCACATGTCTAAACAAACATCCTTTACATATTCCCATCCTATTTTGTAAGCAGTTACCTAAATCAAGACGCGACCCACAAATTGGAGGAGACTGGTCAAAATCTTAGGTAAAAGCACAAGATTTAGGCATTCGAGTACCGATCATTTTATTGCGACAGGATATTCGTGATAGGAATAAAAAAATATTTATTTTCTTCATTCCATACATGATTCTATTTTATTATTCTGGAATTGAACCATTTTATTGAATTTAACAAGAGAAGTAAGAAGGTATTTCACTTTATGTTGCTCGGATCTAATATTAGAGAGCATCATCCAAGATTTTCGTAAACAAAAAATGCATCACTGAAAGCATTATTATTGAGCTAGAAAACCAAAAGAAAGCTTGAATTTGTATACGTTTTGCAA